TGTAAAGCGCTGTGAAGATTGTAATAGCGCTAACGAATGTCACTCGTCACGAATGTCACGAAAGGCGTCACTCTGTTTTGCGATCTCTACATCATAGTCACGGCATCGATGAAGGAGGCGCAAGCAAAGGAGAGCAAGGAGACGAATCCGTGGAAGACAAGATCGAGAAACGCATTTGGAAGATGCCGTGAAAGCCGTCGGCTCGTCCTCCTCGTCGTCGCCGTCGCCCTCCTCGTCGAGCGAATGCTCCTCACCTCCATAGGTACGGCCTCCCGTGCCGCCATCCACTCGCGACCTGTTATCCCCTTTTCCATGGGGAAATGCATGCACCTTACCTTCACGCGTTCGATCGAAGTCACTCCTCCTAGCGATCGATCGGGAGAGGCATCTCCCTTCCTGGAACGGGTCGTAACCAGTCGGAACTAAAACTGTTCTGAAAATTATAACCTGGATGAGCTAGTCCTTTTTAGCGATTTCGGCCCATTCGAGCAAGAGCGCGTCGTTTTTTTCCATTTTTCTTTTTCCTTTCTCCTCTTTACTACAGTGCCAATCCTTCCCGCTCTTCTGGCGACGTTCCGCCAGACGCTCGACAAAAGGAATCTACCGGAGAGAAACGACATCACAAGGGGAGAAAACGACTCGATTCCCTCGTCCACCGACCCATCCTCCGCAGCAGAACCTCCCCGCTGCCCCAAGAATAACCATACCGGTACTCCCATTCGATTGGATGACGTGGTGGGGGGTATGTAGGTGGAGGTTGGGTGTAGGGGGAGAAAGTCTGCCGCTGCTTCCCTTCCTGTGGTGCCTTCATCGGACCGAGAAGAGCAGGTTCCGAGAGCAGGTCTAGTAGGTCAATCCAATCGTAGGAACTATGACCGACAAGTAGGAACTCACTTGCATTCACACTTTCGTATTAAGATTCTGTATGGATCATCACATTCAAATAATCAATCCACATTCAATAGTTTATTCAAAATTCGATTTTAAAATGAATTGATCGATCCACAATCTCTTCATAAATTCATGCTACAGCCCAATATTCACACGTTCATAATTCAAAATCAATTCATTTTTCCAGCCTTAATGTAATTTACCGAAAGCCAGCATTCGCGAAAAGGAATATTCCAGACCAGAAACAGCGACATCAGATGTGGAAATCGAATCCAGTTCTGCTTGTTCTGTTATCGAATCCAGTTTTGACCTGCTTCATTTCCCTCCGGATTCGTACCGTTTCATGCATAACCTGCCATGAGAAGGTTCAGAAAATGAGAAAAGGCCAAATCAAGGCACTTCGTGAAAAAAAAAACGGCTAAGAGTGAAATTAAAGGAATGGCTAAAGGAAATATAGGGAAGCCATGTAAATCCCGAAACAAAACGATTTGACCGTCCTACGCCTTCCTACGAATGATTTGCTCGATCCCCCCAGGATTGGATACGGCCTGCCGCTATCGACGGGACTCATCCTCATCTCCCTCTCGACGATGGGTGAGTGAAGCGATCCGACCTGCATGCGAAGAGAAGCAGGTAAGCTAGAGATAAGCGTCGCAAGCGCAAGCCCTCTAGGATGACCAAGAACGAGGAGCGAGCCCAGGAGGTTCCGCAGCCCAGAAGCACGAGGCGACAGCGACCAGACACAGAGGCAGCGAGCCTTCTCGATCGTTTATCATTCCAAGCATTGTACCCGTCGGAGCGATGGTATTCGCCGTCCTCGGTGGAAAGCACAGACACCATCGGGCCCTTTAGAGTTAAATCGGCGGCGAAAAGATTTCAATCATAGATAATGAAGACAAAGGACTCCTTCCTACCTCCCGTGTCCTCAAATCTTAAAACCATCCCTACCCTCCCAGTAATGACGGCATTCAACAATCGCTTTCTTTTACATGAGGATTACGAAACCTCTGCGATCGAATGGCGGTGGTAGCGCTGGAATGACGTGAGTGAAGTCTAAGAACTATTATGCCATCGCCGCCAGATGGCGCTCTTCAGATTCGGGATTTCACGATACGTAGAACCCATACGATAAGGTTACCGGCTCAGTTGAGAAACCCCAGACGAGTGAAAATCATACCAGGGTATGCAGATAGCCAATAACGTCACACATGTAACATAGTAAGTCGGCAAGGAATTACCTCGGTGAAATGGTCGTAAAGGTATCAAGACTCCTGTCCTAAAATGCATTCACTGACGGTTCCATTCCTAGGCATGGGAATGCTGGCCTCGCGGTACCCAGAGGATCGCGAACGAGGCATCGCGATGGGGATAGCCCTGGGCGGATTGGCTTTCGGATGTATCATCGGACCCACGTTCGGGGGATTCATGTACGAGTTCGTGGGGAAGTCTTCGCCGTTCGTCGTCCTTGCGGCGTTGGCTCTCGCCGATGCCAGTACGCTCCACTTCCATTCTCCCGTTGAGATATGAAAATCAGTAGTTTGGTTCTGTCTGGTAATGATTCTTCCTGTCCTTCCAGTTCTGCAACTATTAATACTGCAGCCTAAGGTGAAGCGGCAGGAACTGGAAAGACCATCTCTAAAACAGCTTCTCAAGGATCCCTACATCTGCATCGCTGCAGGTACGTCATACCTCACGTACCACCTAAGAATGCAAAAAAAAAATATTTATTCCATTCCGATGGGCTCCATTCCCGACAGGTGGACTGTTATTCGGGAATATGGGATTCGCCGTCCTCGAACCGACTCTTCCTTCTTGGATGGAACGTACGATTTGCGCTGCGATTTGGCAACAAGGAGCTGTCTATCTCGCGTGTTCCATCTCGTATCTGATCGGCACCAACGTTTTCGCGCCTCTTGGACATAAGATAGGAAGGTGAACCTCTTAAAATCTTGTAGATTTCATCCATTTATCTGAATGAACGATGAGGAACTTCGATAGGTGGCTCGTCACGATGCTGGGGCTCATCTTAATGGGGATCAGCTTGGTACTCGTGAGTCTGTCTCTGACGTCACGCCCAAAGCCCCCCAAAAGCGAATGAAATCCCTCGAGTTTCGCCACGCAGGTCCCAGAAGCGAAGGACGTGCGGCTGATCCTCGGGCCGCTGGCCGGACTGGGATTCTCCATCGCTATGGTGGACGCAAGTATCATGCCCGAATTGGCTCGTTTGGTGGACCTAAGACATTCCCCGATCTATGGGACTGTCTATGCCGTCGGAGACGTCGCCTTTTGTCTCGGATTCGCCGTCGGTGAGAGCGATGAAGTCGCGGAATTTCATGGAAAAGTTTTTTTTATGATAATAGACCTGAATTCCAATTCCTATCAGAGCAAAACAGAAAAAAAACCACGCAAGACTCCTCCGCAAAACGATCAAACTAGACTTGGGAGACCTCAGAATCGTTTGTGAATCAATGCGGCTTAAATTTTATTTAAGACAAAGGAGCTGTAATAGCTCTGGACACCAGGCATAAATCCGATCGCTCCGTGCACCTTGCATCGTACTAACACTACTGTTGTTCCACTCTAATTTGACTTCGTTAAGTAATACAAAGATCTGCGAGGATTTCCCTCTCGAGACCACATATGTTATACCATATTTCTCAAACACGGTATGATGTTTTTTTTTTTCCTTCATGGTGACTATATAGATGCTTTACCTTGATTCATGGGGACCATGGGGAAAGAAATGCTTTTTTCCGGGGAGGGGGGGGGGGGGGGCTTTTTTTGA